CCCCCTCCCCCATCCTCCTCCTCCTCCCCCTTTTCCTCCTCCTCCTCCCTCCTCCTCTCCTCCTCCTGACCTCCTCACTCCTCCTCCTCCCCCTCCCCCTCCCCCTCCCCCTCCTCCTGCTTCACGTCCTTCTCCCTCCCCCCTTTCTTTACAATTCATCAATATTATGATTACCGTTCTCCTCTCTTCCTTGACTCCGTCTGGAAGATACCAGCCCTCTCCGCGTGCTGCTGTCTTGCAAAAGGTTTCAGTCGGTGATTCAACATGGTGCTCCCGCTGCAGCGTGGGCCTCATGTTCGGCTCGATGTCTTGTTCCCGTCGTTGGGAATGGCGCTCTGGCCCAAGCGCGGGCCTCTGTTTTGGAGCCGAGTCTTTGTTCATCGTTGTCGCCACCCCCACTTCCCCTCCTCCACCATCCCCTGGTCCTCCGGTTCCTCCCGCTCCATCCACGCCAATTCCTGCTGCTGCTGTTCGTCCTCGTCCTCTCCTCCCGCTCACCCTCCTCCTCCTCCTCCTCCTCCTCCTCCTCCTCCTCCTCCTCCCCCTCCTCCTCCTTCTCTCCCTGCTGTGCACGCCACCCCTTGTTTCCGATTGCGCATGACACGAGGTGGTCGTCTTGCTGGAGTTGCAGGTCGGCTATGACACGCGTGCGCGGATAGAGAAACATCAGAGTAATGGGAGGGGATGAGAGGGAGGGATCGTATGACAGATGAGGCGCGATCGCGCATAGCTTGCCTTCCCGCCTCCCCCTCCCCCTCCTCCTCCTCCTCCTCCTCCTCCTGCTCCGCGTCCTTTTCCTCTCCTTTCTTCCCTTTTCATCCTCCTCCTCCTCCTCCTCCTCTTCCTCCTCCTCCTCTCGAAGAGGAGGATGAGGAGGAAGTTGACGAGAGCTCCCATCCCTCGGGTCCTCGCGCCCCCTGGCGAAGCCCCACGCCCTGCACGAGGTGGTAGCGGGCCTGGCGGGCCCAAACTGGCGTCGTCGTCGTCGTCGCCGTCGTGTCCTTCCTCTTCCTCCTCTTCCTTTTCCGTCCTCGGTCCTCGGTCCTCCTCCTCCTCCTCCTTTTCCGTCCTCCTCCACCTCCTCCTCCCTTTTTCCATCGTTTTTTCTCATCCTCCTCTCCATCTTCTCCTCTCCCACGTCCTCCACCTACTTATCCCCTCGCCTACTTTCGCCTCCTCCTCCTCCTCCTCCTCCGCTTCATCCTCCTCCTGCTCCTCTTCCTCTTTTTTCCCACGGCCTACAGCTCCCCCGCCCTCATGACAAACAGTCTCCTCCTCCTCCTCCTCCTCCTCCTCCTCCTCCTCCTCCTCATCTGGTTCCTCTGGTTCCTACCAAGAGGTGGTCCGCTCAGCAAACCTACCTCTACCCCGACCGGGGATCCAAACTCCACGGCTAACCCAGGGCCCGCCAGGGAAGGAAAGGAAGACCTGGCGCAGGCGAGGGCCCTGGGAGCTTTAAACACAAAATTCAAACCCTGCTCACCGCAGCCGTCGAGACAGGAAAAAGGGTCCCGCCCCAGCGGGCGCATGTCTGGGGATCACGCCCCGCCCGCAGACGTTCGAGGGCGCGGCGAACAAGTCGCGCCGCGTCGCGGCTCTTGCGAGACAGAGGGAGGCAAGGATCGGCAAGGAGCTTAGCTTGACGACTCCCATGCGCCCCACATGTCCGACAAAAAACGAAACACCCACCCATCCCAGAGGACTCCCGGTCAGACCCGTCCCCACCCCGAGTCACCCAAAGCCTATGGGATGGGTGGGGCCTGGCGACCAGCCACGGGAGTCCTGGACAGGGGCTCGCGACGACCCTGGCTCTGGAAGCCCTGCGGATCCCACAGACGGCACAGCCCCAGGCCCGCCCGAGCCTCGCCAGAACGTGGCCCCTGTCGGGCCTGGCCAGAGCCAGCTCCCCAGGATCGGGGCCCCTGGGCCCAGGGAGGGCCCCGCGGTCGGGCCACCCAAAGTCCGCGAGCCTTTTGAGGACCCCCCCGCGGTGGCCGCACCAGGCCACAGCTTTCTCCATGGCGGCCTCAGCGCGGCGGCTCATCTCCTGGAGCCGCGCCTGCCCGGGATGGAGCCGGGCGCCGTTCTTGGCCCGCAGGTCGGCCTCCCTGTTGCTAGCGAAGGCCTGCCAGGACGTGCTCGACGCGCTCGCCCTGGCCCACGAGGAGTGCGAGCGCAGCCACCTCAGCGTGAGGAACTCCAAGGTCGTCCAGCAGCCTCCACACGCGCCTCCAAAGATCGGCGCACTTGTGCCCAGGGCCACAGCAATGCTCCTTGCCAGCCGCCAGGTCGTCCTTGAGCCCCTTGCAATCCGTGTAGACCGTGATGGGCGAAGGGCCCGCTTCCTCCAAGACACGGCACAGCGCGTAGAGCTCCGCGTTGCCGATCTCCTGGATCCACCCAGGCGTGAGGCCGAAGAGGCCGCCGACAACGTTCCCGACGTCATCCGCCATCGCGGCAGCCCAGCCCGTACGAGTCAGGCACAGGATGTCAGGGTACATCGCAGACCCATCGATGCAGATGACGCCGTATAGGAAGCCCTGCCTGGCGCGCCCTGCGCGGTGGCAGAGCTCGTCCATGTCTGGAGGCGGGGCCTGATCCAGCCCAAGGTTGAGGAGCCCTCTCACCATGCCCAGGTCGTCTTGCGGCGCCATCCTGCCTGCGTCGGCGACCTCCTGGAAGCCCAAGTCGCGCGCCCAGCAGGAGATGGCAGGGCACATGAAGAGCCGATGGCGTGCCGTGCCTGGAGCCTCTCCGCACCACTGACACAGCGGGCTGATCTCAGCCCTTTCCTCATACAGGTCGCTCTGCGTGACGAGCCCTCCCGCCATGTGCGCCTCCACCAGCGCCGCCTCCTGCGTCTTGCCTGCTCGCCGCAAGCCCGCCAGCGCCGCCTTGAACGGCTCCAGGTCAGGCGGGCGGCCCTCGAGGTGCTCGAACCCGCTGTGGCGCGCGACCTTCGGCATGAGGTAACGATGGGCCCCTCGCTCGACGAGGCTGGCCACCATCCGCGGGCTGTGAACCTGCAGGTCGATGATCTGCCCTCGGTCGTCCCTCCAGCGATGCCAGTCCATCATCTCCCAACCAATGCGCTCCAGCGAGTGGCAGACCGCCCCCGCTGGCCCCGTGACCTCGCCCCAGTCGCCCGGCCTGCGCTCCAGCACCTTCTTGAGAACCGCTGGCGGCCGCGCGCGCAAGAAGATGGCGCGAGCCCAGGCCCTCAGCGGTAGGGCGTGCGCCGCAAAGGCTGGGTCGTGACGCCAGTCCTTGCCTTCCTGCAGGGCAAAGAGGACTGTCCTGAACTTCTGGCCGACCTCGCCCGAGATGGCCCTGCCATTGATCGCTCTGGCGCGCTGGAGGGACTTGGTGGGCGCACCGCTGACCCTCGCGCCATGGAGGATGGACGCTAATCCTCCCGTCCTGCAGACCTTGGAGAGTCGCTTGGCCCCAGCCTTGCGGAGCGCCCTATATTGTCCCGCCCTCTGGCTCAGGCGGTTGATCCTCTGACGCAGCACCTTCCAGGAGGCCGACTTCGACATGCTGAAGTCCACGCCCAAGTTCTTCGTGGCCTTCTCGTGCGTGAACTTCCAACGCTTGAGCCTGGAGACGGCCCGCTTGGCGATCTCAGAGTCGGTGCGCAGCACCTGGCCCTTCGTCAAAGAGATGGTGAAGCCAATGTCCTCCAATTCAAGCAGAGGGCGCGGGTGGCGCCGACCAAGATGTGCTCGACCTGCGCGCGCTTGGCGTAGACTGCCAGCGTAATGTCGTCGACCACCAAATACGGGCGCACCATCTGCCAGGACGCCAGCAGCGCGTCGAGGGGCTTGACCAGCACCGCTCGAAGTAGTGTCGTGGCGAAGGAACAGCCCGCCAGCAGCGACAGGGAGACCTGGAACGCCTCCGTCTTCCAACGATCCAAGCAGAGGCGTCTCCTGCCCCCGTAGAGCCGAAGGAGGATCTTGATCCTCCGCAGCGGGAAGCCCTCCCTCACCGCGGCGTGGACCATCCCTCGATGAGACACCCTTTCGTAGGCCTTACTCAAGTCCAGGAGCGATGACGCGGCCTCCAAGTACAAAGCCTTGGCGTGGTCCGCGTCGAAGCTCTGCAGCCAAACCGCGTCCTCGCAGGAGCGCCCTGCCCCGCCGAAGAAGTAGGGCCTGTCCATGGCGGCCTCCCAGCGCTTCGCCTCGTCGTGTCTGATCTTCCCCAACAATCGGATCAATGAGGCGATCAGGCCGATGGGCCGCCAGCCCCCGCCGGCCTTGGCCAGGAAGAAGATGAAGACCTCGGCCACCTGCGACGGGAACTCCGTCCTCAGCTCGATGAGGTGGAGCAGCAGGCTCAGGGCGAGGACGCCGTGGTCCGAGAGCCAGCCGAAGTGGTGCGGCTTGAGGCTGTCCACCCCCATCGCCGTTGCGGCCTTGAAAGTCCTCGCCGCCTCTCGGATGGCGTCGGGCGAGGGCGGGCCTGGGGCGTCATCCAGAAGCTCGTCAGGGAGCGCCGCCTCCAGGTCGAACTCCTCAAGCTGGTGCCGCCACACCTGCTGGTATTCCGTCTTCAGCGCCTCCAGAGTGCCGGCAATGCCCGCGGGTTGCCCGCTGGTCTCCACGTCAGCGGTCCACCCCCGAGGAGCGCGGCAGAAGCCGTGGGCAGCTCCTGCGAGTCCACGCGCCGCCTCCTGGGCCCAGGCTCTCCAAGCCTTGGCGCGGCCCTTGGCATCCCTGAGGTCGAACGCTTTGGCGGCCTGCCTAGCGTAGCCCTCCAGCGACCTCAGCTGGCAGTAGGTCATGGCGCCCGTCGCGCGCAACTGGCGCTCAAGGTCCTTCTGCCTGCTCGCCTTCTGGGCCTCGTTCAGGCCGATGTCGCCGACCAAGTCCTGCGCGGCCAGCCTGCCGAGCTTGGCCTGCAGCCTTGCCAGCGCGGCCAGCTCCCTCGGGACGAGGTGCGGCGCCCGCAGGCGGCGCCTGCTGGCCAGCGCTTCCCAGAGTAGCGCCGCGATCCTGCGCTTTTCCACGGCTCGGGTGTTGCTTGAAGTACCCCTGGCCCAAGGTACCCCCAGGATTCTCGAGGTGGCCCAAACGGCCTCCAAGGCACCGCTCACGAGGCCCAGAGGGCCCCAGGATGCTTCAAAAAGGGATCGAAAAGCTGGGGGCACCTTGGGCCAGGGGCACTTCTAGCAACACCCGAACGGCACTGAGGTGCCGCTGCTCCAGGACTGGGATGCGGCCATGGCCCACGGTCTCAGATCCCCCTCGGATGTTGTGGCTCTTGCCGAGGCCCCCGGGCCGAGGGGTGAGGAATTCGAAATTCCCGAGGAGCCTGCCGAACGGTAGGCGTGTGTAGCTCTCGGGTCCTGCGGCCGTAGTGCCGAGCAGTCTTTCGACTGACGTAGTCTGACAGTCTGACCGCCTCCTCCTCCTGCTCCTCCTCCTCCTCTCTCCTTCTCCCTCCTTCATCGGGGGGGAGAATAATCAATGGACCTTCGGCAGCCGGCGAACGTGTGTGAGGGGTGCGCCCGAGATCGCACAGGTCCAAGGTCGAAGATCGAATCTTGTGGGTGTTCTGGCGCTTTTCGGGCCTCCAGAAGCCTGCGGCTCCATCTCCGCCCCAACAACGAATCCTGAAGCTTCGATGAGCCACAACCGTGAGGGTTGAATCTTCAGAACACGAGCCGCCCCCAGACTCTGAGTCCAAAGCTTCGGGTGACGCCCATGTTGTTCAGAATGGGGAGAAGGGGGGAGGGGGGGGGGGTCTGGCTCTGGACCTCTGCTTAGTGCGACTGTTTGCAACAGGGCGTCCATTATGGGGGCGACTGCACCTGCTTGAGACAGGCGCCAAAAACAGCTACGATTTACTCCATTGGGGGGGCGGGAGGGGGGTGCGAGGGCCCGCGCCGATCGGTAAAACAATGAATAAAAAACAACGACTCTCAGAAGCGCAAGTTGGCACTGCTTCCACGTGGCGAAAGAAAGACAACACCGCTCAACGTTGAGAAGGCAATGTCATGGGAGCTGGATGATGCTGGCAACAGGGCATACAATCAGAGCCCAAGTGAATCGGGAGCAAAACTGGCTGCGGAAGCACATGATAGCGCAATCTAAGGAGGAGTGCAGGCTGTGCGGTGCTTTCCATGGGTTGCAATCTAGGCGGTGCGAGAACAAGTTGTGCATCCGCCTGCGTTGCCGGAGTCGTCGACGCATTCGCGGAGGCGCGAGCCACGGATTCGGTTAGCGGCGAGCCTGGCGGGGAAGCGAGAAGGAGAAGGCCTTCTCAGAAGGCTCGGGAGTTCCCCATCCCTCTGAGAAGGTCTCTAAGCCTTCCCCGAAGACACAGGGAACTTCTCAGAAGGCGCGAAGGGCTTCTGAGAAGCCCCGCCGCCTTCTGAGAAGGCTTTCTCCTTCTCACTTCCCACCCTCGCTCGTCGCCGAGTTCAATTTTCGGGTTATATCTTGGGTCTTCGGCGGCCGTTCGGGACGATCTGGGCATCGCCGGAACGCTCTCGGCTTGGCGCAACCGCTGGAACGCATCCCGAGGGCGACAAACCGCCAAGAAACGACGCAAACGCCAGGAAACCTAGAACCTCGAAGTTCGAACCTCGAAGTCCCCCCCCCTCGCTTCCGCCGATCGGGATGGTGCCAACTGCACCGATCCTGGCCAAGCCCACCTTGGGACCAGGATTGGTCCTGGCTTCCAGCTGGAAGGGTCATCCGCGCCGGTCCTGGGCCCAAGCTCGGCCTGGCTGGGATCGGTGAGCAGCACCAGCCGCTGTTAGACAATCGGAGGTCCGTGCGTACAGTCGAGACGCTGCCATCATCAAGAAACCTGCGCAGGGAACGATACACCCTTTTCCATCAATTGAACCTCGATTTCCAAGAGAACAACTGCAAAACGCTTCAGAACAAAAATCACACCAGAGAAAAACCCCAATCAATTGATGGTTTGATCGATAAAGAGATCGACCGGGAACCCGGAACCCACCGAAATCGGCCCGGAACCAATAACCAAGAACCCGGGAACCCGGAACCAGGAACCTGGGAACCCAGCCGGCCACCAAAATCGGCGGGACACTTTCGCCAAATCTGTCAATTTCCGCTAGGACCCCTTCAGTGCAAGCACTGATTGGGGAAAAACTGTGCAACGCGCGGACCAAATTGGTTCGGGCTCCTCGCCGGAGCGACGAAAAGAAACGGGGCTGACACGAGATGGCACACAGTAGGAGCTCGACCACAAGGACCCTTCCACAAGGAACCCAACCCTGAGACCCCATGATGTCCATTGATGTTTGGTGGGAGCGTCAAGCAAACTTCAGGAACACCAGAGAAAAACTGCAAAGCGCCTAAAGAACACTGAGCCCCTCCCCAACGAAAAAGGGCTTCTTCCTTTTGGGTGACCCAAAAGGGGGTCCAGCCGCCGCGTAGAATTCACGACCCCTTACACCGAGGAGCAAGTCGTTCTGCCGGATGTGTGCGAGTCGGCACTTTGCGAGTAATGGAACGCGCTCGGTGAATCACCCCACCCCCTTGCCGCCCGCGACTCTCCCGCGGGCCGGGCCGCCCGCGCCCCCGGGACCGCGCCAGCCGCATGGCCGCCGCCGCGGCCCCAGCGCCACGGCCGCCTCCTCCAACGGCGGCAGCCGGGGCGCCTCCGCGACCCAGGGGCTCGGCGGGGTCAGCGGCGGCCGGACGGGGCAGCCGCGGCCGCAGGCGCGGGGCGGCCGCGGCGGTGGCCGTCGCCGTGGCGACGGCGGCCGCAGACATGGCCAGTGCTGACGGCGGCGGCTGCGGCCGGGGCAGCGGCCGGGGCAAGGGGCGGAGGAGGAGGAGGAGGAGCAGGATGAGGAGGAGGAGGAGGAGGAGGAGGAGGAGGAGGAGGAGCAGGAGGAGGAGGAGGAGGAGGAGGAGAGGAAAGAAGGAGGAGGAGGCGGAGGAGGAGGAGGAGGAGAAGAAGAAGGAGAAGGAGGAGGAGGAGGAGAAGGAGGAGGAGAAGGAGGAGGAGGAGGAGGAGGAGCGGTCGAGGCCGTGGCGGTGGGCGCGGCCGTGGCGGCGGAGGCGAAGCTTCTCCCCCTCGCCTCCTCCTTCGACGACCACGGCGAGAACACTGGCGCCGACGCCAGCGCTGGCGCCGATCACCATCGCCGCCGAAGGCGCCGTTGACGACAGCGACGACCGCTGACGACGATCGATCGCACACGACAGGCGCCGCCGCCGACCGCCGACCGCCGCCGCCGCCCATCGCCGATCGCCGACGCCGCCGACCGCCGCCGCGGCCCGCCGCCGCCCAAGCAGACGGCCGCACCGCCGCTGCCGCCGAAGGGCGGCCGCCGCAGGGCGCCTCGGGGGCTCGCACCCGCGGGCGCGGCCAGCCAGCCCCTGCCCGCCCCGCCGAGCCCCTCGGCGCGCATCGCCCGCGCGCGCGCGGCGCCCGGGCGGCGGCCGCCGCCCGGCGCGCGCACGCGCCGCGCTTCTGCGGGAACTCGGCGGCGGGGCCCCGTCGGTGCGACGGCTTGGAGGTGATGACGATGATGCTGATGCTGATGATGATGAAGATGCTGATGCTTCAGCTGCTGCTGCTGTTTTCTGGTGATGATGTCACTGCTGCTGCTGCTGCTGCTGATGATGCTGCGTATGAACACTATCATGTTTACAATTGTCATTCGCATTCCTAGTTGTGATCCTAGTTTGTTATCACGACCAGGATTATTATTATTATTATTAGTAGTAGTAGTAGTGCTTTTAGTAGCAATAGTAATAATAGTAGTAGTAGTAGTAGTAATAGTAGTAGTAGTAGTAGTAGTACTAGTACTAGTACTAGTACTAGTAGTAGTAGTAGTAGTAGTAGTAGTGGTAGTAGTAGTAGTAGTAGTAGTAGTAGTAGTAGTGGTGGTGGTGGTAAGAGTAGTAGTAGTAGTAGTAGTAGTAGTATTAGTAGTAGTAGTAGTAGTGTGTAGTGCTTGTAGTATTAATAGTAATCGCAATCGTAATGATAGTAGCAAGAGTAGTAGTAAGTGGTAGTAGTAGTAGTGGTAGAGTCGAAGGATTATTAGTAAGTAGTATATTAGTAGTAATAGTAGTAGTAAAGTAGTAGTAGTAGTATTAGTAGTATGCTAGAGTAGTAGTAGTAGTATAGTAGTAGTAGTAATAGTATTTACAATCGTAGTGACAGTCGTAGTAGTAGTAGTAGCAGCAGTCGTAGTAGTAGTAGTAGTAGTAGTAGTAGTAGTAGTAGTAGTGGTAGTAAGAGTAGCAGTTGTAAGAGTACAAGTAGTAGTCGTAGTGGTGGTACTAATAGAACAGGTAGTAGGAGTAGTAGTAGCAATAGCAATCGTAGTAGTAGTGGTAGTGGTAGTAGTAATGGTCGTCGTAGTAGTAGTGGTAGTGGTAGTGGTAGTGGTAGTGGTAGTGGTAGTAGTAGTAGTAGTCGTAGTAGTAGTAGTAGTAGTAGTAGTAGTAGTAGTAGTAGTAGTGGTAGTAGTCGTAGTAGTAGTATTAGCAGTGGTAGTAGTGGTAGTAGTAGTAGTAGTAGTAGTAGCAGTAGTCGTAGTCGTAGTAGTAGTAGTAGTAGTAGTAGTAGTAGTAGTAGTAGTAGTCGTGGTAGTAGTAGTAGGAATACTAGTAGTAGCAGTAGCAGTACCAGTAGTAGTAGTAGTGGTAGTAGTAGTAGTAGTAGTAGTCGTAGTAGTAGTAGTAGTAGTAGTGGTGGTAGTAAGAGTAGCAGTAATAATGGTAATATTCGTAGTGATCGTCGTCGGGATAACAAAACTAATAAAAACAATGTGATAGCAGTAGTAGTAGTAGTAGTAGTAGTAGTAGTAGTAGTAGAGGTACAAGTACCAGTAGTAGTTGTCGTAGTAGTAGTCGTAGTAAGAAAAGTACTGGTAGCAACTTGAATACGCGAAGTAGTCGTCGTCGCCGGCGTCGTCGTAAATAGTCGTCCCAGTAGTAGTACTTGAAGTAGTAGTAGTCGTGGTAGTAGTAGTAGTAGTGGTAGTAGTAATAGTAGG